TGGGCCTGAGTACAGAGTGGCACCGGAGAGCTCGGCGCGTTTCACCTGCGCGGCCGGAGGCTTCTTCCCCAGAGACATCAGTGTGAAATGGCTCAAAAACGGGGTCCAGGTGCAAGCTCCGCAGCCCCAGGTCACTGCTGGGCAGGCAAACTCCTCCTACAACGTGTCCAGCACCGTGGAGGTGCTCCTGCATGCTGCCGACATCCGCTCCCAGCTCACCTGCGAGGTCAAGCACTCCACTCTGGCAGCCCCGCTGACGAGGACGTTCCACCTCCGGGACGCTGTGCGAGGTGAGGGCTCGGCAGGGCCGTCGCTGCGGGGCGATGAGCGGGGCACCTTGTGGGGAAGGGGCCAGGGCAGATGCAGGCAGCGGGTCGCGGAGCCGAGCGGACGCTGGGCACCAAGCGCTGCTTCTTTTTGCAGTGTCCCCCACCGTGCACGTGCGCGCTGACCCAGCCAGCCCTGTCGAGGTGAACGAGACTGTGAACTTCACCTGCTACGTGGAGGGGTTTTATCCAGACGTGGTGACCGTCACCTGGCTGGAAAACGGGACGGAGGCAAACGTGGGGAAACCCCCCCGTCCGACGGAGACCTCCCAGGGGACGTTTGAGCTGCAGAGCCTCCTGGAAGTCCAAGCGACGGAGGAGAAGAATCAGTCGGTGTTCACCTGCCAGGTGGTGCACGACTCCCAGAGCCCTGTCCGCAGCGCCGCAACCCTGCGGATCGCCGTGCCGGCTGCTGAATGGGGACCGAGCAACCCGTCCCACGCAGATAAGGGTGAGTGTGAGCCTGCTGCTGGCCTTACAGATGCAGTCCCTGAGGAGGAGGCTCTTAGCTGTTGTCCTCCGGAGAAAGCTCAAAGTCCCACCAGAATCCTGCACGGCATAAGAGCCTGCCCAGCCTCCAACGCGATCTGCTTTCCGCTATCTCGGCGCCGTGCTGAGCTGCTCCTCGCCCCGCTCCCGTTACCATGCGGGCCGGACGAGGTGGGTCCCCGGGGGACGCAGCCGTCGGGAGCAGAGCTCCCATCGGG